GATGAAATTATTCAGAGTTCATAGCCATTTTTCTCACACCTTACCCTATCAGTAGCAGTGGAAATGCTGCCCAGTTAACTTTTTACTAACCTGTATTGAGCTAATAACATAACACTACTTACACTTTCGCTTCTTTCGTGTCCTGCTCTGATGAAGCTTTCAAGATCATGTGGATCTGAGCACGAGGAGATAACAGATCTCAGAAAATACACATTTGTTCAGAACCTTGATTACAAAATAATTTCTTTCTAGCCTTATTTCTTAAGACAAATCAGGCGTGACTTTGGTTAAGGATTTTCTCATTAGCAATTGCCACATGTGTGTCATACTGATGACCTGTAAGAATGAAGAAAAATTGCATGGGAAATCTGTGGGTAAAGGAAACGACGAAAAGTTCACATGTATTTCATGCCTCATTACAATAATCCCTACTCGTATTCTACCATGTGTCCCTCTGGATCTGTGCCCACCTCCTTCCTCCTCTTTGCATAATTTCATTCCTAATGATTTGCCATCACAGTTTCAAATTCATTATGTGACTTCCCTTTGCTGTCTGATTTGGCTGCCAGTTCCACGTATTGATTCTGTATGTTCTTTTGGAGGATAAACACCTTTTAATATCTGCTCTCCAGCAATGCTGTGCTGGATGAAATCTATAAAAAACCTCTTAACATCTTTTTCTATACAAGGCAAATAACAATTAAATGGCTCTCCAAGTACATCCTTTCTGTTAAGGTTTGTTAACAGAATTATTAAGACATGTTTCATTATCTTTACTGTAAAGAGAGCGGTGTTTACAGATATTTAGGAGACTATTCAGAACCCTGTGTTGTATCAGTGTCTTGGGTCAGGCTGAAAACTGTAAAATGTGTTTACAGATATTTAGGAGACTGTTCAGAACCCTGTGTTGTATCAGTGTCTTGGGTCAGGCTGAAATTTTTTTTCTGCCCTTTCCACTAAAATCATTGAAATATATTCAGTCAGTCTTTCACATCAGAGGTGTAAATGGATTTCTTGAAAGTTTTCTGCAGATAGCAAAGGGCAGTCACTTTGCAACTTCGGCTCCATGTGTTTACAGATATTTAGGAGACTGTTCAGAACCCTGTGTTGTATCAGTGTCTTGGGTCAGGCTGAAATTTTTTTTCTGCCCTTTCCACTAAAATCATTGAAATATATTCAGTCAGTCTTTCACATCAGAGGTGTAAATGGATTTCTTGAAAGTTTTCTGCAGATAGCAAAGGGCAGTCACTTTGCAACTTCGGCTCCATTGTGGGCAGCAGTCGGAAAGCTTAACACTCCACCCGAACTTTGAAGATGCTAAAACTGTGTAATGACCTTGCATTCTCAAGGGCAGATGCTCAGCTTCTGCTGAAAGTGCTAATCTACAATCTGTTTATCGCCAGGCACTATGTATTTGACAGCATTTGCCTGGAAAGCAAGGCAGGGAAAAGCGTGGTCAAATTTAGTTACTTTTTCCTCTCTGATGGTGTTAGTGTCCAATGGACTTAGAAATGATACTCTTTATATGAATTTTTAGCTTCCTTTGTGCTTCTCAGCCAGTCCTGATCTTAGAAAGCAGCCACACTGCCAGTGTCAGAACGTGCTTGTCTTTGTGAAGCCTCTGCTGAAGCATGAGCTGGACCGTGTGGAGTAACAGTTTTCTCCCTCCTTTTCTTTATTCTTAGTGAATCAGACTCTGGTTTTACCTCCAAACCCTAAATTGTCACCTGTATTTTCTATCAGTAGGCTTTAAACTCGAAGTACTCTACTAATTATTCTGTAGTGGGTATGAATTGAGGTGCACCATGTAATGCTTATGAGCATATTGAGGAGGATGTTTCTAATGAAGAAGGAATATGTTGAAGCAAAGTGGTGTGTGCAGGGAAAGGTAATACCTTTTGTTACACCGTAGTCATGTAAACCCTTCTTCAGTTCTGGAGCAGAAACCTGAAGAGAAGGGCTTTAGCACATAAAAGCACATCAGTGTTTTCAGGTAACATAAATGGGCTTCACATGCCCAAAGTATGTTCTTTACCAACTCCATCAGTTGTTCTGATAACAGAGGGTCCCTCCCCTAGTAAATCATGTTTTGCTTGTGCCTGTAAACCATCACAGTCACCACAGCACTACAGACTGAAAGAAACCCTTTGGTTTTAATGTAATCCCTGTGGTTTTTCAAACTGGCACTCCTTATCAAAATAAAGCATTAACATTAAATTACTCTGATTCAGCAACAGCATCTATTTTTTAATATGAACTTGTCTGTTCTGTCAGGTAATTGTTTTGCTTCCCAGGGAATTGTGTATGCGTTGCAAATGGGAAAGTTCAACCTTGTAAATCCTTTCCATGGTGAGGCAACAGGAAACTTGCTTCTGATTATTAAGATCACCAGGTTTAATAGCAGAATTTAATAATGAGTCGCTAGAATTGACCTTTTGAATTGCTAGATTTTCCACACGCTCAGTCAGGGATCTCTTTATGATGTATAGCAGGATTCTCTTCCTCTCCACTTACAGAATTATGAAGAAGTGTTACTGTCACCGAGGTGCAGCTTCCTTTTGTGACATGTGCTTTGAATTAGCAGGGCACAACTAAGAGAATGTTGCCCATTCTTTTAGAGTAAATAGATAACAAGTCACAGCTCCCATCCTAAAGAGGAAGGACAAGGTTTGGTGTTTGGTTGGGTTTTTGGGATTGTTTTTAACTTGCCTTGCTTTGGTAATACATAAAAGTGCACTGAGGCATGTGAAGTGCCTAAGAAATGACTAATGGTGCTGAAGCAATGAGTTCCTTCAGACCTAGAGATGTAGTCACAAGCTGACTGCATGCTCTCTTCTCCCTGCATTCAGTGCTCAGAGTATAGGATGCATTTGGTATATCCCTCCCACTCCAGACATGGTGCTCTTTGCTCATGCTTAGGTCTGAAGGTGAACTCTGCTGCAGTTGTGTTCTGCCAGCCCAAAATTGCAGGAGGCTAAGGCAATACTCAAGCACGAGGTAACAGTTCGTAATATTTGAGGTGTACAGTGTAGCTGTCAATGGGGAAAGGCAAAGAAGGGGAAAGTTTGACTCATGTATTCTTAGTAGTAATCCATAAAATCATAGAATCATAGAATCAGCTAGGTTGAAAGAGACCTCCAATATCATCAAGTCCAACCCTACTGTGGTCACTAGCCCATGGCACTAAGTGCCACATCCAGTCTCAACTTGAAAACCTCCAGGGATGGTGAATCCACCACCTCCCTGGGCAGCACATTCCAATGCCTGACTACTCAGGCTGAAAAAGCTGCTGTTTGGTCATTCTGATGAATTGACTGTGCTGCGCTGACATTATACAGATTTTACAGTCAATGCTCCATTCTAATCACTGTATATACTGCTGCATGCAAGTGTCAGTTCAGCTCTTGGTGCCTCCTGCCTTCCTCAATTGGTTTCTTCCTCTCCAGCTGATGTACTTAACAGCTATATTTCTTCATATCTGTCATCTGCATTTCATAGAATCATAGAATTTAAGAGTTGGAATGGGCCTTAGTCCCACCCCCTGCCCTGGGCAGGGGCACCTCCCACCAGAGCAGGTTGCTCAAGGCTCAGCCAACCTGGCTGTGAACACTGCCAGGGTTGGGGCAGCCACAGCCTCCCTGGGCAACCTGGGCCAGTGTCTCACCACCCTCACAGGGAAAAACGTTTCCCTAACATCTAACCTAAATTTCCTTCCTTTCCATTTGTACCCATAGGAACTCTCTGTGGCTAATGGTCTACTTAGATGCATGGTTTTTTGTGGACCCAAGAAGCAAATACAGAACTAGTAGCATAAGGTTTTTCTTTATATTAACTTCCAAAAGACTGAAGTAAAACTGTGTAACTCAAGGTAAAATGAAAAGTAGGGAGCAACTGCTTTTTTTTTCAAATTGTTTTTTCCCTTTAAAGATAAAGTTTGTGAATAGCTGAAAGACTAGTTATTCTTGAGACCTGTTTGGATAAAGAACAGTCTTAGCATAGCAAAGTTCCAAGCAAGCTCTGAGAATTAACATGCGTTAAATGATAGAATCATTTTATTGAGCAATAATAAAACATTGAAGTCAGATGGAAGGATGATGGGGAATTGCTATTTGCAGCTATGAAAGTGATGCATGTCATGTTAACTCCCAACCCAAACAACTCATTCTAAGATTTGCTCTCATGAAACTTAAAATCCTCTATTTTGCCCAATCATCAGCTTTAAACCTGTTCCTTGTCAGTGAAGACAACAAATCTTTTTGCCCGTGCCTGCCTGGGGGATGCGGAAAGCCGAGGTGGTCCTGAGTGATTGAATTAGATGAAAGACTTGCCTTCTACCAGTGAGACATAAAGTCTAATCAAGTGAAATGAGTTTTGAGATCTCAGCTCATTTCCTTGGGGAATATCTGCTTACATTACACAGTCACGACACCTAATTCATCACAGTTGATGCAGCTTTTGCTCAGAAGAGGACCTGGGACTGTGTAGCATGGGACTTGATCACAAGTCTCCCCCCAAGGAGGAGCTGCTTAGTGAAGTTAAGATACAGCACAGTGAGGGGAGAGCTTTAATATGTTTTTTAAAATATATGATCTATATTTCTGTGTATCAGATCTTTTAGAATAGAGGAGCTTAGGTGCAAAATGGGGAAAGCTAGAGGGGAAAAAAAAGGTACTTTGTACTGAGTGTAGTTTATAAAATGATTGGCATACAAATATTAAAGAGCATACAGAGTGAAGAGCAAAGCTGGGCTTCTTGTTACTTAATTTCTATGATGTTGAATGGTGTTTGTGTGTTTTCATGCACTAAGGTACAAGGAAGTAAAGACTGTTGTGCTTCCCTGACTAACAGACTGTTTTTGTTTCTTCCAGGGCATTGTTATAACTCCACTTCTGCTTTTGCTTTTTGTAAGTATCATGATCTTAATATTTCTTCTTACTGGGTAACCTTGCACCTATTAGTATATTTAAGATATTAATTTGAGTGATTTTAACAATGCTTAAATAATGAAGATGATTTTTCTGGTCAGTGTTTGAAATAAGTTGCCTCCCAGGAAAGCCATCAAAGTGTATCACATTGGATGTAAACAGTATCTGCACCTCATTCTAAGAGACCAGAGCTTGTTGTTCTTGCAGGATTGCAGAACTCTGTGCTGTTATTCAGGCTGGGTAAAATACAAACACTTGCCAGGTAGGATGATAACTTGGTTAGGAGATCTCTCAGCTTTGACATGCAGGAGCTGGAGAAAGTTGTGCTGATCTGAAATGGATGACAGGCCAATTGGAAAAGCACCATTCAGACAAACAGAGCCTTGCTCTTGGGCAACTAAGCCCATGGGTATTTTTGTGGTAGAAGTTAGCAAGGCAAGTTACTGGAACCCCCATATATCATTAAATGTGATGCTGCTTCACTCCTGTTAGTTCAAGATTTCTTTTTCAGTCATTACTCTTTAGTCAGGGCATTGCATCTTCACAGTTCCTGGCAGAAGAAAAGGGAGAAGCCCAAGTTTTATCTTTATGTTTTATGAAGGTATAGATATTACTGAGCATGCAGTGAAGAGGCTTTCATAGGTGGGTAGTGGTGCTTTAGTAAGTCCCTGGTCAGTTAGGAGGTCTTGGTGCTTGAGGATTTGCTGGCACAAATGGTATGGTATGGTGCAAGCTACTGAGGACTGTGGCTCTGTGAAGAGCAGGGAAAAGAGGCTTTCAGGAGAGGTATACATTGTCTTTTATGTTTATCTCACTAATGGCTTTGTATGTGAGCCTGGAAGGGGGAGGCAAAGTGTGAAGTTGGTCTGAAACACTCTATAAGTGGCTCACAAGTGTGCACTGTTTGTAGTAGGGATGCTTAGCAGCATATGTACTGTATGTAAATACAGCAGTGGAAACTGGGGTGAATAGTACTGTGAGAGTGGCTGTAACATCCTCAACTACTGCCTCAGTAAAACTGTGTGGGAAGATTTTCATTTTGCTATGATGTTTGCACACAAACTGCTTTGACCATGTTGTATATTTTGATACCCACCAGCAAAGCTTTCTTTAATATACCTGGGACCATATACTGTAGATTGGAAAAGATAACTTTTCTTACAAAAATGAGTGTTTTGTTATTCTTGCACTGAACGCATTGATTCCAGATGTTCTGCCTCTCTGTTTTCCAATCCTCTTCCCCTTTTTATGGAATGTGTTTCTTCCACAGGTATTCATGCAGAGACCTGTGTTTTTGCTTCTCAGTGCCTGAAACTTCAGCTTTTTTTGCTTTTGCTCACTGGCAGCTTTCACCCTGCTATACCTCAGTTAGTTTTGGTACCCTGCATAGTCAGAAGGAATATTTCCTGTAGAAACCAAAATGTTAAGGAAAGCTCTGCATAACAGCAAGATAGAGATCTTTCCTTTAGTGTCTTTATAGACAGATAACAAGATATTCTGTCCCATAAGATGTATAAATTCCGTCCCATAAATTGCCCCCTCTGTTTCTCAGAGGAGGTGGTAAAACTTCATTTGTGCAAGAACAGGAAGGTAAAGCATATGTCTCTGTTCTTCCTACCAGCCCTAGAGACATTTGTATGAGAAGTGTGTAAAATGCACATTCATTGTTGGGTGGTTTGTAGCATGACTCATAGTTGTTCTTCTTGAGGAAGATACACACATGAATTATTTTTTCATCAAAGTGGTAAACAAACTAGTCTGGGGATAAGGGGAGTTACAAAACCTGCATTTTTTTGTCACAATGCCCAAAACTTGAGGACTTCTCTTGGGGTATATAAATATTTAAAACTTCTCGAGGTCTTTGCTGAGGGTTTCACACATGAAGCAATCAAGTCAGCCCAGCAGCACATTTTGTTAAGATGAGATATGCCTTCTCTGAAGGTTCAGTTGGTCCAGTGGTAGGTTAGGATGGCACACTAAACATGTACACCCTGATGCACTGTTCCTGTACCCTGACAGTCTGGGATTTGGATTGCTGAAACCCTTTTTTCCTCGTGAACCTCTTCAGTTTTCCTCTGAGTTCCCTTGATGTATCTGGCCTGGTCCAGGTGTAGTGGATTCAAGGACACAGCTCATATGCTTCCATTTCCTTGCTTACAAGCTGCAGCTCGATCATCTCATGTGTCACTGTGGAGTTACTGCAGAATGAGAAACACTGACTAGTAACTTCCTGGTTATCTTTTTTGAACCATTCATCAGCTTAGTCATGCAGGTTAGCTTTAGTGATTAATTAGCAGAGGGTAGAATCTTCAGGTTTTACAACAAAACTCCTGTTTACCTCAACATAACTGACCTAAGCTTCTCAATACTATTCAGAGACCTCTGAAGTCAATGTCATGGATGAATTTTAATTCCTGAATCTGGTAGTCACAAGCATTAACTTTTCACAGAGTTGTGCTGTGATAGTCTGAATGTTGTATTGGTCTAGTAACCATGGTAGGGTTGGACTCGATGATCTTTGAGGTCTTTTCCAACCCAGCTGATTCCATGATATTTGTTAGTCTCTCTGTTTGCAGTACATAAAATACCCTTAGTGCTGCCAGAAGTAAAACACATTGCTGTCTACTACCTTGGTTTTGCTATATAGCTTAACCTGTGGTAGCAGTTACAGTTTGTATTTTGCTCTATTGTGCCCCAGAGAATATAGTGTCCTGAACTGTCTTTTCTGTTCCTAATTGCCTAGTAATGTAAATATAAATTGTATAAACCACACAGATAAAGGCTTGTTGAAGCTTGTAATGAATAATGCACTTAATGCAAATAATTTATCATCATAAATAAATAGTGGTGAACATTAGACAGTCAGTTCATAGAATCATAGAATTTAAGGGTTGGAATGGACCTTAGAGATCATCCAGTCCCAACCCCCTGCCCTGGGCAGGGACACCTCCTCACTGGGTCAGGTTGCTCAAGACTCATCCAAACTGGTCTTGAGCACTGCCAGGGTCAGGGCAGCCACCACATCCCAGGGCAACCTGGGCCAGTGTCTCACCACCCTTAGGGTAAAAAACTTTTTTCTAATATCTAACCTAAACTTCCCCTCCTTCAGTTTGAGCCCATTACCCCTTGTCCTGTCATTGCAGTTTCTAACACAGAGTCCCTCTCCAGCTCCCTTTAGGTCCTTCAGATATTGAAAAGTTGCTTTGAAGTCTCCACACAACCTTCTCCAGGCTGAACAGCCCCAACTCCCTCAGCCTGTCCTCATAGGGGAGATGCTCCAGTCCCCTTAGCAACTTCTGAAAAGTGTATTGCAACTTTGAAATTTCTTGTGTAAAGCTTACTCAAAATAAGCATTCTAAGAGGTTCTGATTATTTTACTGAAGCCTTAAATACTGTGCACATGATTCCTGGGCTATATCCTTGTGAGCATGCTTGGCTAGACTTGTGGAGTACAGCTGACTTTGCCACAGATACCTCTGATTAACATTGTGCCTAATAAGAAGTTATTGAATCTGGCTTCCAGATGTGTTAATCAGCAATGTCATCACCCTCGTGTTAACCCTTGTTGTTAACAGTTAATGTCATATTCCCAGCAAAGATGTTACAAATGGGCAATGTCCCGTAATCTATATATAATTGATTAGAGTTCATATATGTGGTTGAACCAAAGTAATGTAAGTTAAATCAGTTTCAGGTTAACACGAGGTTGTGGTGTTCGTGTTTCTTTGCAACATTCTGCAGTGTTTCATTAATGATGATCAGGAGGCTGTGTACCAAGGCATTCAGAGAAGGATGCTGTCTGATTTCCTCTTGTCAGGTCATATACTTAGCTGAAGCCAAAGGGAACAGATTGATTATGAAATTTTTTAAAGCAGGAAAATAAGTTGTATTTTCTCAAAGGCACTTAGGGAAAAAAACAAACCCACCAACACTCACCAACTAGAAATAGTGTAGATTAAATTTTCTTTTGAAAATAACTATATTACTATCAATAACTAATTGACTATGACTTGGTTAAGTAATGACCAAGGAAGTAAGGCACTTGGGTAAGGGTTGTGTGGAGACCTCAGAGCACCTTCCAGGAGCTGAAGGGGCTTCAGGGAAGCTGCAGAGGGATCTGTGGTAGAAGCTGCAGGGACAGGACAAGGGGCAATGGGTACAAATTGAAAGAGGGGAAATTTAGGTTAGATATTAGGAAGAAGTGTTTTCCCTTTTCTGGTGGTGAGACACTGACCCAGGTTGCCCAGGGAGGCTGTGGTTGCCCCAACCCTGGCAGTGTTCACAGCCAGGTTGGATGAGCCTTGAGCAACCTGCTCTGGTGGGAGGTGTCCCTGCCCAGGGCAGGGGGTTGGGGCTGGATGATCTCTAATGGCATTGTACTACTACGTAAGAGGATGATGCCGAGTTACCTTTCTCATGTGAATGTGGTTCTGTTGCTTTCCAGCCACATTGGGATATTTGCCTTATCTGTCCTTAAATTCGGCCATGCAGGTTTATGATTTTGTTGAATCCAATAGGTATCAGAATACAGGCAGTCAGTCATCTGCCAACTTCTTGGTATTCCCCTTACAGTTGAGACTTAGGACCTGGCAGACATGATGTCTTCAGTTGCTGGAAGCACAACTAGTTAGTTATCAATGTAACAAAAGTCAAAGTGAGTGAATGTGCATTTTTTTTATTGAAAGCCATCAAAAAACGCTAGAGATAAGTCAGTACTTTACATTTCAACGTTCTTTATATCCTTTACAGGCATGCCTGCAATCCAGTTATTGTGGAATGTTAAAGAGCCAATGCAAAATTCATGTGTACTTTTAAAAATACACTTGGCAAAGGCTCCATGTAATTGTCAGGCATTACACCCCTGTGAGCTGTTTTATCAATGAATACTACCACAACATTTGTGTCAAAGTGGAATCTTCCCAAGGCTTTATCAGCTTCTTCCTGTTCTCGATTTATTCTGTGATGTTTTCTTTTCTGAT